GTGAGATTTGAACAGCCGAACTGCAGAACTGCAGTCAGCTAAAGTAGCCTGCAGTGCTGAATTTAACCACTGCACCATCTCGGCTCTAAGCGTTAGTATCGCCTTGTAAAGACCTGGCCTCAGTAAGACCAGAGACTTGGAATACTGCAACCAATTTTGGTCACTACATTACAAAAAAGATGTTGAAACTTTGGAAAACATGCAGAGAAGAGAAACTAGGATGATTAAAGGCCTGGAAACTAAAACATATGAAGAATGTTTGCAGGAACTGGGTATGGCTAGTCTAGAGGGAAAAAAAGACTAGGGGTGATATGATAGCAATATTCCAATATTTGAGGGGCTGCCACAAAGAAGAGGGGGTCAACTTATTTTTCAAAGTACCAGACGGTAAGACAAGAAGCAATGGATGGAAATTAATCAAGGAAAGAAGTAACTTGAAATTATGGATACATTTCCTAACAGTGAGGACAATTAATCAGTGGAATAGTTTGTCTTCAGAAGTTGTGGGTATTTCATCACTGGAGGTTTTTAAGAAGAGACTGGACAGCTAGTAGTCTCAAATTGTATGGGGTTGGACTAGAAGACTTTATGGTCCCTTCCAGCTCTATTCTGATTGAATTGAAAATACAGGCTATCCTGCCTCATGAAGCAATACTTTGCTTTACTATTTGAAATAGAAATATTCCTCTTATGTTTGTAGTTATGTTAGCACAGAGCTAAGGGCATTCATTTATACACATAAATTCCTAATATACAGGACTGATCTGAAACATTTTGTTTCCTGACAATGTAAGGAAAGTGGCCTTGACTTCTCCTTCTTTGAGATATCTAGGGCAGCTTGCGTAGCACAAATAGTTTAATGCTTTAAGACCAGATCTTTACTGCTTACTTACTTTTCAGCTTACTCTTTGTTCATTCTCACTCAAATCAGAAAGCACATTTCACATGAACAATGAAGACATATGCAAAACTAAATAGCAACATTTCAGAATTCAATACAGGTAAATAGCTATTTCAGAGACAGGTTCTCATTCAGTACAAACAATATCTTTTGTCCAACAAATAGACCCACTATGTAGCTTGTTTATCAGGCTCTAAATGGGCCTTTGGGAAGATCAACCAAATCAGACTTTCAAATAAGTCTATCTTCAGAAATAAGCAAGGGTGCTACTGCCTGCATGTCTATGCAGAATTAAACAAGGGAATTACTTGAACAAATCTGCATATCTATTCAGAATGGGTCTTGCCCAATTACTGCACTAAACATAAATAAGATTGTAGTCACCTTATAGAAGATTAAACAATAACCTTGCCATGCAAATAATACAAGAGCATTTTTTTTTACACAAGCAAACACACATACCCTTACAAAACCAACAATGTAAGCACTTTTTTCAATATATGTAAAATGAGGATAAATTATTTTTTTCAGAGTGCAAGAAGAATATACATGTTCACGATACAAAAAAGATACTGAGACTAGAATGTTTGCAGACAAAAGCAACAAAGATGAGGCTAAATGATATAATGAATGGTTGAGAGATTGGACAGCTGTTTGTCCAGAATGATATAAGATCTCCTGCTCATGCAGATGTTTGGATTAGAAGACCTCCAAGGTCTTTGCACAGCCACATGTTGAATGAAATGAAGGAACTTTTCCTTGGTTAGTCAGATAAGTAAAACAAAAGTTATCCATTGCATTGTATTTAGATCTGTTCTTTTTTCTTTTCTTCTTTAAATTAAAGACAGGAAGGGATTCTGATTGAGGACTCCAATTCCCATTTATAATTCCTCAACACTTTCTCAAAAGACAAGTAATTGCCATTGTAATCTTCTTATGTGGGATTTAATGGCGACAATAGCAATGCATGGCATCTAGAAGGCAAACTACTCCATCCCTAAACATAAAAAGAATCTCCAATCTTGATTTACTGCAACTTTATTTACCGTAATTTATATTCTGCCTCTATGATTTTTATAAACAAGATAGTAAACTTTGGAGTATTTATGGGAGGATTTAAGGAAGGAGATAGGACCAATGATTCCTATTCCAATCCTTAAACTCCTCCAAAATTGGGAGAAGAAAGGTCCCAAACTTCAATACAGCCCAGTCCTGCCAGTAACATCATTGACTTTCTGCAGTCCACTAGAAGGTTTGGGGAAACTTGATTTGTCAAGGATATCCCATCCCTGAGTTACTGGTCTAACTATCTGAAGGACCACTTCTCTTGATATAAAGTTGTCCAAACACCAATCTCCAGAAAAGGATCACTCTCTATGACTCCTTTTTATGGGGTCAGCATGAACATGGGGGAGAGCTGTCCCCTTCTTTGTATCCAAGTTTATCATGGACTTGTTCAAGAGCTGCTTTTGTATTCTTTCTTTTTTTCAGGAAAGGAAATAAGATCTTCCTCTTTAAATTGTTTGAACAAGGTTATAATGATTTAAAATATTTAGAGCCTAAGTACGTACTGTATGTATGTACTGGGATTATATGCTGTTACCAAATATCAGTTCTGGGCAGCTCACAAACTCAATATTTGTAAATAGGAATAAAATATACAAGATCTATAATAATCAATGTAAGTAACATAGTACAAATGAAACTTAGTTCCCAAAACAAATAAAATTGCATCCATTTAGGATCTTTAAAAAAGTAGAATTCTTGTAAAAACCAAATGGCTTTGTTTCTCAAACCAGCAAATATATCCAACACATCTACTTCCTCCTCTTTATTTTCCCCACAACAAGAACTATGAGGTGAATTGGACTGAAAAAGAGTGACTGGCCTAAGGTCACCCAGCTGGCTTTCATAGCTAAGATGGGACTTAAACTCACAGCCTCTTGCTTTCTAGCTTGGTGCTTTAACCATTAGACCAAACTGGCCTTTTAATGGGGGATCTTTATCCTTCATAGCATTACACTTTCCTATATGAAATTGGCATCCGAACTGGGGGTCCTTCTGGATTCACAACTACTTCTTAAAAAGCATGTAGTAGCTGTGACCAAGAAGATTTTTGTACAGGTACTTTCGATGTGATAGTAGCTCTGCTTCTGTGACTTGGAAGCCCTTCATTTATGCCTTGGGTCACCTCATAATGAGACTACGGTAATGTGCTCTACATGAAGCTGTATTTGAACACAACTAAGAAGCTATAGCTGGTCCAGAATGCACGGTGCATGAAGTGATGGGCGAATCACAGTATGCTCATGTATCTCTGTCATTTTGAGAATTGCATGAATTCTCAAATTCTGTTGGTTATCGCCTGTAAAGACCTTCAGAGCATAGGGCTAAGCTATTCAAGGGACCATATGTTTCAGCCCAGCTAGTGAGATCAACTGGAATGGAAACACTCCAGATCCCATTGATTAGGGAAGCACCTATAATAAATGTTATAAGCAATAAGCAGCACCTTCAATTGCACCTGGACGCTAACTGATAACTAGTGCAGCTCTCAGACATGATAGATTATGAAGATTACTGTTAACATCCTGAATGTATTATGGATAAAAAGAAAGCACTTAAACAACAATAATGACAACGTGCAGTAACCAGTCAATAGTTTAGTGAAATTAAAGTATAAAGAGATGTTCTTGTTGATAAAATTATTATTTTTTATATATTCTGTCAGGACAAACACATCTTTCAGTAATATCAACAGTAGTGGTTCCTTTAAAAATGAGGAAAATGTGTCCTTGTTTCATCCAGATGGCCTCTTTCTGTATAATAGCAATATCACTTAGACTTCACAGCGCTTTACAGCCTTCTCTAAGTGGTTTACTGGGTCAGCATAATGCCACAACAATCTGTGTCCTCATTTTACCGGCCTCAGAAAGATAGAAGACTGAGTCAACCATGAGCCGGTGAAAATTGAACTGCTGGCAGTCGCCAGAATTAGCCTGCACTACTGCATTTTAACCACTGCACCACAATGGCTCTTTAATAATATAGATTCATCCTTATATACAGTATCCTTACATCAGAAGAAACAATGCTAAAGGATAATGAATCAAGAGGTCTCTGCATGCAGTTGGAATAGTCAAGAGAACAAACTAAATCAATACCTTAATTTGAGTTACAGGGCTGGTCCCTCTCTTCTCGTTTTTCATCCCAGTTGGTGAGAGCGTCCCTGTGGTATTTGGCGGCTGAGGCGTGGAAGGCATCTTGGTGCCAGGCGATACTTGCATGCTGGCCAACTGAGCGGCATAGAGTTGCTGCAAAACAAAAACAGCTTTTCTCTTTTAGGAGCCCTGGAACAGAGATTCCTAAGTGGCAAGTGCTGTGTTTTGGGGTCCTGGACTTGGGGCATTGCACATCTAAACGAGCATGATGAAAGATATGGACCCTTCTGGATTAAGGGTCACAAGAAACAAACTGTGGGTGTCATACCAACAATGCTTCAATTTGGTTTTAATGCTTTGCAGTGTTTCTCTGACTTGAAGGTTACAATTATGGGTAGTCTTCGACTTACAACAATTCGTTTAGTGATTGTTCGAAGTTACAATGGAATTGAAAAAAAGTGACTGATGACCGTTTTTCACCTTTAGGACCATTGCAGCATCCCCGTGGTCACGTGATCAAAATTCAGATACTTAGCAACTGACTCATATTTATGATGATTGCAATGTCCCCAGCAGGGGTGGGTTGCTAATCCCGTTCCAACCGAACCGGTTGGAACGGGGCCGGCGGCGTCCTCATGCACGCGCGCAGTTCACGCATGTGCCTGCGCGATGCTCCAGCTGCTCGCGGAGACTTGCGCAGGTGCTGTATGTGCCATCCAGCTGCTCGCGGAGAATCGCACAGGCGCTGTATGTGCCATGCACCTGTGTGGAAGCGCAGAAGCCTTCAAAGACGGATAAGGAGCGCGGGCGGGCAGGTGGGCCCTTCGCCGTTCCCGGAAGTTACTTACTTCCGGGTTTGCCGACCAACCGGTTTGCGAGGACCGCTGTGAACCAGTTGAAACCCACCCCTGGTCCCCAGGATCATGTGATCACCTTTTGTGACTTTGCTTGAAATCCACCTAGATCTGGCAGCACCAGTCTTTCTAGTCTGCTCATTCTAAATTCCACTACTGTGCCACACAGACCCTACTCAGAGAGAATACAAAATGTAAGAATTTGCTACAATTAAAGATTTAGAGGAATACTGGTTGTTGCTCCTCTGATCCCAACACAAATTACATGCTCCATGGTTTGTTTGTTTGTTTGTTTGTTTTCGCAGCATGTGAACTACTATACTCTTAGTATCATTCTTTATTAGTTTCATAGACCAGAATATTATTGATGAGTAATTGCAAAGTTCCTAAGTGTATTATTTCATAGACAAGCTACATTGGATTACCATAATAGAAGAACACAGTTTGGGGGGGAATGTGATGTTGTAAGAGGACATATATTTATGTAGCTGGGTCTGTGCTTATTTGTTTACTTTAAAAAGCTGTACTTCTCTTTTCCTTATATAGGTTATATTGCTGTGACAAATGCCACGATCCATCTACAGACACTCTTTACTTGGGAACAGCAAACTGAAGGGCCAGGCAATATTTTCTCAGTTTACAACTTGTATTAACAAAATGTGTTCCCTGCCACGATTCAGATGTCACGTCTTGCCCCTAGAACCAGCCAGAATGTACCTAAACTGAAGGTTCAGTTTTCTCACTTCGTCTTCTTCAAGGCATATCTCAGATCTACTTGTGTCAGCTATGTTATGTGAGAGTCTAGAGACATACTTAATATGGATTCAGAAAAGAAAGTGCATGACCAAATGAACTTTTATACTTTGGGCAAATATATTCAAGAATGTCAAAGCAAAGCACTGAGCCATTCTTAGTCCAAGAGCAATATTTTTCAGAGGCAATTTATCCTCAAATAAGGCAACATGTCGATCATCTCTCAAGAGACATCAGGCTAAAAGAGAACCACACAGAGCCTTCTATATCATGATTCATTATGAAATTTGCTTCATATGACCTGGTTTTCAGGATCAGGAAATATCTAATTGTTAAGAAGTCCAGAATTTCAAAACATTTTACAGCCTTGTAAAGAGATACTCTTTTGTTGACTAAAAATAACCATCATTTCAGTGTTTTGCATAATGGCTGTATTCTGCTGTGGGGTGAAGAACGGTGATTATATTAGCCACTGGCATTCAATCTAATTTCAGTAACTAAAATAGTTATCAAGGTTCCACATGCATATTGACATTTGATACTTCAACAGAAATATTTTCCATTGCAATGTTAACTTTACAGCTCTTGGTAGCTCTTTTAAGCTACTACTACATCATTAATTCTATCATGGGTTAGTCATCTTTGAATGTCAGGAGTCATAACTACTGTTTTCAGAGTAATTATTAATTTTTAATGTACCTTCTTCTACTGCATTTTTACTGGTTCATAAAATAATAGTTTCATAGTTGGTACAATAATATTCCCAGAACTTCAAATAAATAAAACCTGCTTTTGCTTTACGTGTGAGGCAAACTCTGAAATGATAAGCGATAATAGACAGTGAAGGATCTCTGCATACTAATCCAGAGGATTATCTATTGCACATTCTATGTGAATCTCTCTCTAG